TGCGGTGAGGCTCGCAGACGAGAAGTACCGGGAGCAACCGGCTACGGTCGCGAAGACCGAGGACCGGTTTGCCACGCAAGAACGGGTCTTCGAGGAGGACTCGGCGCATATGGCACCGCCCGAGAGAGAGGCGTTGTGGCGGCTACTGGTGGAGTATAGGGACGTATGGGAACACCCGGAAGCGGGAAGGGTGAAGTACGAGGCTGGCTTCGAGGTGCACGGCACATCCCACAGGGGGAGGGTGCGGCACTATGAGCCGGAGATGCGCAAGGAGCTGGAGACTCAGGTAGCTAAACAGCTGGAACTCGGAGTCATCAGGCCGTCGAAGAGTGAATGGGCCGCGGCGCCCCACTTCGTCAAAAAGAAGACGGGTGAGTGAAGGTGTGTGATCGACTATCGATGGTTGAACGAGAAGATGGTCTCGGACTCGTAACCACTTCCGAGAATATGGGACCACCTCCGGAGGGCTGCTGGGCGCAACGTGTATGTCACGTTGGAGATGAACGCGGGGTTTTGGAATGTGCCAATCGAGGAGGGGAGTAGGCACCTGACGGCGTTTATCACTCCGATTGGCCTATTCGAGTTCAATGTGATCCCGTTTGGTGTGAAGAACTCGCCGCCGAGTTCCAACGAGCGATGGACTCGTGCTTCGCCCCGGTGTTGTGAGACGATGTCTTCTGCTACATAGACGATATCGTCATATGTGGGGACAGTGTTGCGGAGGTCATGCCCAAGCTGCGGAAGCTTCTGGACCTGTGTCGGGAGACTGGATTCTTCCTACGGTTAGACAAGAGTGAGTGGTTCAAGCCAGAGGTCTCGTACCTGGGCCACGTTGTCGGCAAGGACGGGATCCTCGTCCAGGAGAAGAAGGTCAAGCAGATACTGGCAGCACCCCGGCCGACGTCGAGAAAGGAGCTGCAATCGTTCTTGGGCCTAGCGGGCTACTTACGAAACTTCATTCCGCACTACTCCACGATAGCTGGAGGGCTGTTCGACTTACTGAGGAGGGGCAGGTCGTTTACGTGGCTGCAGCAGCATCAGCGAGCGTACGAAAGGTTCAAGGACGCAGTGGCGTCGACCGTCAAGTTGCAT